TCTCTCTCTCTCTCTCTCGGGCTGTCTGTCTACTACTCGACCACTACCACTGATATTCTCGCCAGTATTCGCGCCATGCTGTCGCGCATACTATAGTGCAACGTATCTGATCCGAGACACATATGTATACATATATATATATATATATATATATATATATTTCTCTTGTGAAAATATATTGATTTACTCCTGACGCATTTATACACGTGAGTCGTGCCGGGAAAAATTCAGAAAGATCTCCCACATGCTCGCGACAGTTATCTCGGAAAGTCGCCTGCGAATCTCGCGAAACGTTCGTTGACGTATCGCGCGGCGATCAATTTAGCATCGAACACATCCCCGCCTTATTCTCGCTTTTCCACCTCGCACCCTCGCTACATCTTTTCCCCAACCCCCTCCCGTACTTTATATAATCGTCTTATACGCTTTTCGATGCCCTCCGGGTGACGCGCAAGAGTGGATTATACAATATTCGATATCACGTCCTCCCGAGTATATTCTGCCACTTATCAGAATCTCGCGATCCGTCTCACGTCGGTCGTTTCCATTGTAGTCTACCTTTTGGATTCCTTCTTTAACCAGCTGTCGGAATCGATCGTTCAAATATTACGCTAACTTAGAGACCGCGCTTTTACAACTGCAATTTTAATTTCTCGTAAATATAACGGAAGCTCACGTTCGCGTTTGTTGCGAACGATGACTGACTGATTCCCGCGATCTCTGATGCTTTAGAACGACTCGGTGCTGAATGACTCGGTGCTGGCGGACGTAGCGGCGGAAGAGCTGCTCTCCGTAAAGTACACCGGCACCCCGGCGAGCAATCACATGCAGGAGGGTGGCTCGCTCTCCGACAGCGGGATCTCCGACAGCGGCAGCGATCAGGAGCTGAACGAGCGCGAGCGCAGGTTGGCCGCGCTTCGGCGACTTACGCGCAGCTTGGAAACTCAGTTGGCGCCGGACAGCAAGGCCCTGGCCGACCTCTGGAAGAAGATCGAGGATGCCGAGAGCGAGCTGCGCGAGTTGCGGAAGCAGTGCCAGGAGCTCATCGTGCGCACGATGGAGATGGACGTGCGTGCCGCCAAGCGAACGGCCAGCCAGGTTCATTATCCCGCGGAGTAAGTAAAACCTACGATGTTTGTAAAACGTACAATTTTTGCATCGCAGTTCTAAATGTAGACTCTTCATTCGATCTATTCGAGAGAGAGAGAGAGAGAGAGAGAGAGTGAGTGAGTGAGAGAGAGAGAGTATGGAGACTTCTGCGCGAGAATAAAAATAATTTGGCTCTGAAGTGATCGATATCGCGTTTTGATATTGATATTCAAACGAGATGGCAATCGAATCGCGTAAATAAGTCGCGAATATTTATCGAACTTGTCGAAGTCTTTAAGAGCGAGAATTTCGCACAGAACTTTAAGAACCGCCTCCCACGTTCACATTCCATTTGCATAACGTCGAAATGGGAAGTAAAGAATGAAGGCGACTATTTAGATGTAGGGACTTGCGAGGTCGTTGGTCCATAGCGCTGGGCATAGCTTTAGGCGGCTGCTCATTTGAATATAAGAACTTTGCCGAGAACGAGCGTGGTGACTGCACCGTCTCCTACAAGTGGTGCACATCTTAAAACGTGAAAAATTCAAATTATAAAACGGATTATAGTTCTTCATAATTTTCATAATTTTGCATTGTTAGGGTGTCTATTCGAATGTTATAAAAAAATTCCTTGAAAATTCCCGAATCTTTCAGATATTTTTATTCAAAATTCCAGATAAAGAATTAAATGTAACTTCGAAATGAGTTTATTTTATTATGTGCGTTTTTTTAATGTTTTTCGATCACGAAGAAAAGCCACTTAATGATTAGATATATTACGTTTTGACGTAATCACTTTAAGAAAACATTAGTTTTTTTTTTTATAAAAACTAGCAAATTATATGTCAATGTGCATGTTGCATTGATTGCTGTGAATAATTGGTGGATTACCAACAGCTTGCATTATCAAAAATTATTTTTTTAAAAGGGAATTCAAATTAGAGGTAAAATTTCAAAAAATTTTGATTTGCAATAAAATTCTGTATTCTCCGACTTTCAGGAAAAAAAATCTTCAGGTTTTCCAATTTTTTCAAGGAATAAATATCTTAATTGTTCTAGAATATTATGTTAAGGAGATGTGTACTATAAACATTATAAACATTCACTAAATGTAACGTTTTAATTAATTATTACTTGAGTAATTCGAAAATTAAATAACGCATGATAATTCCGCAATTTTTTCCGTTTTTGTCTCCTCTTGTTTGTCAAGTGCAATCTCGGCGTTGTTCGTCGAATGTAATTACAGATTCCAATTATCACCGCGGTATCTTATTTAACTTTGTTTTAAAGATGTTTTTATAGCCACGTTCAATCACCGCCCGGTAGCGACGATAATAGGTTTAGTTTTCGCGGGCGTGAAACATCTGCCACACTCCGAGTCGTAAAAAGAGATATAAAAACCCAGTGCCATTTTCTTCGATCGACGGTCTTCCGTTTCGCTACGTTCCTCACGTTTTTCTCTCCTTCTTCCTCTCTCTCATCTTCATCCGTACTCGTAAGACGTAAACAACAAAGGTGTTTTAACGGGATGTTTTAAGCCTCCCCTTATCGTTCACGGATTAAACTTGAGCGAACGTTCGCGGAAAAGCTAAACAATCGCGCGCCTAGACTTGCGTAAAGTTAATGAAGGAGTAACAGCTACAATTGCAAGCCCAGCCTCGCCAACTTCCAACTTACGTACATGCATCTCCAAATTGATTTTCCGGCGAACTTTGCTATTACTGGTTTACTCGTATTATCGTGACCCGTGGGACGGCATAAATTAATTTTCGCAGTCGCGAACTCGTACAAGTTTCTCCTCCAAACGGTCGGACATACGCCTGTCTAGCGGATTAACGCGTTATTCGACAAAACGTAATTTACTCGAAAATTTCTCCTACGATGAGAATCACGCGAAACGAAACTTTTCGAAAAATTAACGGGGACAGGGCGTCCGTCCGAATAAGTAAGCTACGATATAAAAAGAATAAAACCCAGAACTAACTCATAGTAGTGTCTGTTAAGCGAGCAGCGATTATTTCGGTCATCGAAATATTTTTTTTCTTCAATTTTTTTTTTAGCAAGCGCAAAAGAGCGTCCAATCGCGGTGCAGACGCGAAGAGCGGCATGGAAGTGGTGTCGATCACGAAGAGCAACGCCGGCGTCGCTAAGGGCGATCCCGCCGACGAGTCGGCGTCCCAGAGTTGGTTCTGGCGACTCTTCAAGGTGTCACTGCCTTTCACCCTCGCCCTGGTCGCCCTTTTCTGCGCCGCTTGCCTCTTGGAGCCGCACTGCTGCGAGGCTGCGAACACGCTCACCCTGTCGCTCACGCCGCAAATGCGCTACCACTTCGGGCCACCGCCGGTGTGAGCGGCACGATTGACGGCAGGTATACGAAAAATATCGACGCTAAAGATCAAATGTGTGATTTTTGGTGAGAAAAAAAAAAAAAACGGAATAAGATGTACGTATCCGTTCCGATACGCATCCGGGCATCGCGCGATTTTAACGGCCGAGCCCGCGGCGTAAGGCTGTCCGCGAATTTTTTAGCGAGCGCGCGCGCTTAATTAGACTGTTAATCTTAAATTTATCGGAGCTTGTTGAATTTGACAATGCGTTTCCGGGAGAGATGATTTGCCGACACTTGACTGATTTCCTCACTGCCTGCGTATGTCTTCACTTCTTATTTTTTTTTTTTTATTTCGCACGAGAAATTCTACCGATAGTACCGTAATTTCTGGCCGCAAGGTATCATGACGTAAGCTACTGAACAAATCCGGTTTGGACTTAACTACTATGAGAGGAAGAATTTTCACATACGCGAAAATGAAGTATTTTATATATATTTTGAATTTTGATGCGCGCCAGTGCTACGTATATATTTTTGCACATAGAAAGAGTGATAGATGATTAATGATTTAAATAATTAATCAGATTTTGTACAGAGACAGCCTGGCAACGAATCTCGAAATGTCGCAATTGAAAGTGTGTCTTGCTCTTTTAGAGTATTTTAATATTTAATATTTAAGAAGAAGATGCAAAATTGCATCATTGAGTTATTTTTCCGTCATTCTGAATTGCGCGCGTCAGCAGCCTATGTTATTGTTGAAGTGTATAAATATTTATTTATAGATTTATATATATATATATACAGAGATCATATATTTTACTCATTATATACTATTCTTCTCGGAGGACAATGTTTAGTTTTCCGCAGGAGATGAAACCGGAAACATAAAATGGACTTTACATGGTTTTTTGACGGGCGGGAGTCCATTTACATCGAATTTCGCTGGGAAACGGCACTTGGATTCCATATCGCTAAGCTTCCTATTTGTTCCAAGATCTCCCGCTGCTTTTAATGCCATCGTTTTTGTTTCCGTGACAACGAAATTTATTTCGACATCTTTTTTTCTACATCGCAAATGTGTAAAACGTACATGCACAAGCTATATCGGATATGTACCCTTTGTCGAGCATGATGGATTTTTGGAAAACGCGGCTTATGCATGCAGATTTCCCTACGAATATATATGTACGACGATTGGCACACTGATATTATATAATAGAAATTGTCGAATCTAATTATAGCAACGGGATTTATCGGCTGTTTGTATCCGTGAATAATAATAATAATAAATATGACTTTGCACAATAATAATTTGGATGCATGCGCATATAGGTATAGTTTAGCGATTATTGCATGCGTTCTATCATTCCTGAAATCTTCTGCACCTCAAATTTTCTTATTTTATCTCGTGTCAAGTAATGTTTGATGTTCATAATAATGTGCATGCTATTATGGATACTTATCTTAGGATAGCACATACGATCGGAAGATATATTCATATGCATATATCTCCTTTTAACACGGTTGACGATTTTAGATTGTGATATATTTCTCGACAATTCTTCGATCTTTCTCATGCATGATCTTTTAACGAGAGAAAGAGAGAGAGAGAGAGAGGTGTACATATGTCGTTACTAACGACCCATTAACGTAATTAGTCAGAATATCTAATTGTAAAAATCTACTCACCGATTTTCCTCGTGATGTGTCTTTGATATTCGAAGGCACTCGTATTTAGAAGCGAAATGGCTAATGTAAATAGACTTAAAGAGAAATGGCGAGCAAAGTTTGTGGTTAGAAGGCGAAAATTATTTTTCCAAAAAGAAAAATAATGTTTAAAAAATTTTTCAAATACCGAACTTTTGATAGAGTGATTTGTGAAATTTGTGAATAGCGCGACTTGTCGCTCGAAATCTATTTTGTAAAGTCTTTTTGAGAAAATATATGGTGTAAAGTGAATGTGGTAATCTGTATGAAGACGAGAGCAGCCATTCTGCAGTCTCAGATATGCGTAATGCGAAGTAACGAGAAATGCCTTATGGTCAATCATTGAAAGCTTACAGCTTGCACGATGCTTACTGTGTAAGCGCCTTGTCGTAACGACTTCGATCGATGCTTGTGCAGATTTTAAGCTCCTCATAAGAGAGGCGATATCGTCGGTAAGTCCATTTGGCATTTTGCGGACTACATAGAAATAGCGAAATACAATCTACATGTAGATAGTAGAAGTATGTAAAGCAACGGTGGCTTGATATCGTTTGGACGCAAAATTTGATTTTAATATACCGGTGAAATACAGGTGAAAAATATCACAAAGTGAAAATATCGCCAGGACAAATTTTTTTTTTTTTTTTTACGAAATATAATCACAAACGCCAACGATGTCAAATTGCCGTTACTTTACACCATCCGTTTTGTGAATTTTTATTTTATGTTGCCGAAGATCTAGTACGTCGCGACCTGCATGAATGGTACTATGGTCGCCGACAGCTCATTTTTTTTTTCTTTTTTACGTAAGTACCATGTGCTACAAGTAGCGAATGTTTGTTAGGCAGAGGTTAGGATTGCCTAAGAAATCAAGTATTCACAGTAATTGCGCTCGATAGAGAGATGAGCCGCACCGAGTAGAGATTCTATTCAATATCGATATCTTTTCGATGAGAAATGCGCGTAAGTCGAGTGTGTTTCTGCATATTCGATGCACTCGCCGCATCGATGAGAATGACGATAAAGAGAACTTTACATATACTTTATTGTAAAGTATGTATTTTTTTTTTTTTTGGAAAGCGCATTAAAGAGAAAGAGAAAGGTAATTAAGGATATGTACTTTCGAGTACACGTCGCGTTAATGAATCGCAAACAACGATGACCATCTCGAATAGCGAACGTTGGAGAAAATTGCGAATGTGAGGGAAGTTGTATACATGACGAGGAATGCGTTGGACTGAATGTTCGTGATTTTTTTACGACTGACGCGCGTAAGAAAGTTGCGAGGAAATTGTAGTAGTTTTAATTAAACGTGGAAAAACAATTTCAGTCTTTCCACAAATCTTGACTGTTGTCTTCGCCATAACGGATGTTGATTTTATGGGGGGAATTTAATACAGTTTTTATTGTATTGTAAACGAAGCTGTATTAAACGAAGCTCTTATTTCGTTATCAATTACGAAAGCGTAATTAGACAGGAACGATCAGAGAGATGGTTCCTACGGCCTAACGTAAACGGGAATGTATCCTAGTTTCGCCGTTTTTACACTATGAATTTAGCGATGAAGAAGGTGATAACATTTTTTAATCGACCTAAGATCATCATTCGATTATTTTTTACTTAGACGTAATTTACGTAAAATGTTTTAACATCCACTAGAGACAGACGCAAAGAAACGAGTTACTGTTGAGTGAGAATTTATTGGATAATTATATAGTTATCCAATAATGAAGTACATACGTACTTACAAGTCATCATATAAAAGAATGGCAACTGTGTAATTGCCCGCTGTTGACGGATAAACGTCAATGGCATCGAATATTTTTCGATAAAGTATATCAGTATAACAATCGTTGTATATCACAACGAATCGTTCAAACAAAGATCTCTGACTTAATGAGAACGATAATAAAACTCGATAATCAAGCGTGATCTTGCGCTCATTTTTCATGGCGATTTGACATGAAGATTTACATATATTACATTTATACGATTCTAACATTAGAAAGAAAAAAAACAATGGAATGTATCGCACAGAACATTTTATACAAGGCGTTACTTAAAATTCTATCAAAAATTTTTTTGTCTCGTTGCTAAAATCCAAGAAAATTAAATAATAATGGATAATATTTCTTGAGGTGATGAAGCGGAAGAAAATTTCGTGAAAACACCTCTCGTTGCAACTATTTTAGGTAACGCATTTCAAGCATATTTTATTTACGTGTCGCGAATGCGCGACACGATTTTCTATCTGCCTTATACGAGATATAATAACGTGTATAAAGTACCTGAAAAATCAAAATGCTACTTATAATATCTATCCTATGTTATTTTATGCACGCGGTTGAAGGAATATTGATAATATTGTAACGATCGTGTCACGCTTATCATTCTACTGAATATATTCATCTATATCGTATAGACTATTAGATATATATATGCATGCATCTTTTTCGTTATCATTAAAGGGAGCCGTACATGGTTATCGCAATGCTCGGCAAAAAGAGAATTACAGGAAAACATTCAGTTCGATAAGTGCGAACAAAGTATTACGATATTCAGTATCTTCGAAGATCATCGTTTGACTTGCGGAGAAAGAGAATTAATAACGGCGCATTTTTCTGAGATGTTATTTCAATCGAATTAAAACACTTTTCACGCTGATTAAAATGATAAAAAATATACGATGAGCTTGATCGTTACTCGTTAGGAATTTCGTCTGTGAGAAACGATGGTCTTGAAAGCCGCTAAAGTTATAGCGATAATATTTTTAGCAATGTAGATGTGTAACAACGCTTCTACTTGAGACACGAGTGAGACACAATTCAGTAGAAAATATCAGCTACAATTGAAAGAGAACACAGGGTATATAAAGATTAAAAGTATTTAGTATTCAACTGTATTATTCGACTATGTCGTGTTTGGCGCTCAAATAGAAGCGGTGAATTTTAATGTATGCTAATAATTACGTTTTCATTCACGTTTTTCGTGAGCTGTCTCATCCGTTTACCGATGATCTTCCCTCGAAGATCCGTGCAATTCCGACTGAAATTTTATTCGCCAGTGACAACAAGAGACTGTCGCAGTTTTCAGCAATATTTTTTTTTCCTTAATTTTTAAAAAAATTTTTCACTTCGTGTGACTTTTAACACTCTCGAATGTTGCTCACGCAAAAGTGAAGCGCGTAAATGGCGTTACTTTACAATTACCGGAGATTCGCATTTCACCTCGGTGTAAACGTCGCTACGTTTATACATCTCGATACAATCGCCAAATTGGATTGCTCAACTCACCGTGCGATCACCTCGTGCGCCGACTCTCAGATTTTTACCGCGCCAAGACGGATCGCTGCGCGATTGTAAAGTAACATTTGAATTTATCGACGACATTATTTTTTTTTTTTTTCTTCACCTTTCAAAGTATTATATTACACCTTTCGAGGTATTATATTACATTTTAGATATTTGAAATAAATTTTGAATTCTTGTTCAGGGGAATGTATTTTTTATACTCCGCTTATCCTTGAAATCCCGTGTGAAAATCCACGAAGGTGATTCCTCTCGTCGTGTGATAAAAGAAGCGGCGATCGGGCATAATGCGTGTCGCCAATGACAACGTTCGCAAAAGTATTGCCGAAAGTTCAATGATACGGCTGCGCCGGCAAGTATATCCGCAATAATAATGCGCCTGCAATTGATACAGAGGGATACGATGATTGCCGTGTTCCTACGTCCGTTTGCGGCGGCCTTAGTGAAGTCAGCGCGAAGGTAGGGATATTAGGGGTTAAAGGGCACACCCACTATGTTATTACGACTCACACCTGTACCCACGTGTGGTAGGCCAGCGCGGAACGATTTTTCTGCTTAAGAGAATCTACTTAATGGCACGACGTTGCCCTCCTCCCCCTCCCCCTCCCTCTCCCCGGCAACAATAAGTCGAAGCCGCAGGTAAATTATCGAACGAATGTCGCGCGCGTGAATACAGCGGATTATTCGGATTATCACACGATTTGAAATAATATGGCTAGTAATACGAATAATGAAAAATAAAATTAATTAACGCACGTGATCGAAAAAAATGTGCGATCGAATAAATTATTTCTGAATAACGATTCAAATAAAATTTATGAAATAACAAAGATCTAATAAAGAGATAAAAAAATTAATAATAAAAATTAAAATATAAAAAAATTTAATAAAGAATAGAAAAAATATCTTATGCGCTGTTGTTACTGTTTTATATTGTATAATTCGCAATACGATTCGACTAAATTTGAATTTTTCCATTGTTGGCCGTTTCGAGGCCCTAAGCGACAAACGAGCGGCAAACGACAAACGAGCGAGGACTGAATTATTTTTTACGGAAAAGAGCCTCTCGAACGAGCAAATGGGCCGCATCTTACTGCCGCTCTATGACTCCTACGGGGTTTATCCGTCCCTTCTTACTTTCGGTTGTTTCCTCTCTATCGTTCTGCAACCCCTACTTCAAACTCGGCTTACTTAAGCAAGTCGGAGGTCGCTTCTCCACCCACCTTGGCCGGAGAGTCACCTTGCCCGGCAAGGGTTGAGCGAGCTGTAAATTACCAAGAGGGCATTTTGATTAAATTTTTTATGGTAGTAGACCGGTTATACAACTCGAGGGGCTGACGTAACTCCGACTGATTTAACGTGTACGTTACAGCGTCGCTTTTATTTGCCATTCGCGCGGCGAATCCCTGATTACAAGTAATAACTCCGCGAAACTGTCTAAGCGTAGTACATCCGGTGAAAGAAATAACGGTTGTCGCACGATAATTTGTTTGTTTGAGAATTAAAATCACGAGGGAAAATCTTTCTCCCTACGTCGCACGATGGTGAAAATATATTTCCACTCGAATCGTCATCCGTGAGAATTACCAATCCATTACTCTTGTCCCTTGATATTCGTTAATTATATGATGTATTATGGAATAAATAATTTTGCATAAAGAAAATAAGTATTTCTCGGTCCATCACGTCGTGGGAACGGGTGTACATGACCAACGAATAATAAAGTTCACTTTCGAAAGCCTCCGTCATTTATGAAACGTCCACTAAGGGACGCGTTTAGCCTCGAAGGCCGCGAGGGCGAAGTGGCTCAACAAGTGTTACTCCAAAACGAGCTTGCGTCTCTACGGTTTCGTCGATCCGCGACGCGCTTGTCCGCCCCGCGCGTGCGGTCAACGGGGGGCGTTTCTCTCCCGCTCGTGAGATCGCGTGGGAGAGAATCGCATATTAATTTCCCCGGCTTTCTTCCTGCAAATGTCCGGTCCGGCAGTCCTCCGTCTATTATCGGACATCTCGACCCAAAAGTTGGATTCGAATAGATGACACATATACATATACGAAAATTATTTCTGACTGAGATTCAGTTTGTCTTTATCTAATCGCTCTCTGTCGTCCGACAGAGATGGCTAAATTATAAATATCAGATTAAAAGAATGTATCGAGATATCGCGTCGTACGGTGGTGGAATATTCTCGGTGATACCAACGAGGGGAGCGAGCTCGACAGACACGCGGAGGGATGCACAGGGAGAGAACGAGAGAGGATAGCGTACTCGCGTACTTTGGGCGCGCGCGCACGTGGTCGCGAGAGGGTGAAGTCACGGCAGGAGGGAGATCGGGGGAGGGGGGGGAGAAAAAGAGGATCGGAGAGGGAATGGAGGCGGGAGGTATCACGCGGGCGAGAGTAGGCCGAGGCTCCGCCTCCGCGAGGTAACTCGGAATACGGCGCGTCATTCATGGCCGAGCTAAAGGCTGCGCCACTGTTCGGGTCCGTTCGGCTGCAGCGGCTCGCCAGAGGATACACTACGGCGCGGACACCTGTCTCCCCCGCAGCATCCGCATCCGCCGTCGCGCCGCCGCCGCCGCTACCGCTGCCGCCGCGTTCTCCGTCGCGTCGTCGCCGCTGCCACCGTTCTTGGAGTCACCAGCTGCCACGCCGCGACGGTGCCCATGCGTCCACGGCGGTTACGGGTGTACCGTGTGCCGCGCGAATAAAGTACCGGTCGATGGTGCGGTGCTCGAGGAATCCGCGGATCGTCAAGCCCTTCCCGTTCGACAGGTTTCCCGTCGACGGGAAAAGGCCGCCGGCGCCCGAGTACCGGCGCGGGCCCGAGTACCGGTGCGGGCACGGGTGCGGGCGTTAAGAGCGCGAGTGACACGCGACACGCGCACAGTGTGCAAGTGAGCGGTAGAGCATTTGAGTGAATTGTCAAAGAGATAAAAAGAAAGAGAGAGAGAGAGAGAGAGAGGAGGG